GACGCTGACCTTGAGGGGCTGACATTCTAGCTCATGGGGTCTCTCTTTACCACACACTATTGGGGTGCAGTGGTAGTCCCAGGAAAGATTATCAGAAGGATGAATGCAGACTTTTCATGATTCCCCCTCACCCCAGAGGGGAAACTGGCTGCTGGAGGAAGGATTGTGTTATACGCAGAGACACTTGGATGTTGTGGAGAATTCCGTGGCTGAGAGAGGCCGTAGAGCCTTTCTTAGATGTGCAAGTGGAAGCCAGGGAGCCTTCATGACCAGCCAGCTGTTTGGTGGCAGAGATGGGACTGACAGCAGCCTCAGGCTCCTTCTCTTTCCTCTCTTTTTACCTCTGAATTTAAATGTGACAGGCCTTGTGAGGGTGGGTGAGTGCCATCTTTAAGCAGGAGGCTTAGTTACAGGCTCTGCTTTATTTATTTATTTTTTTAAATATTTTATTTATTTTTGAGAGAGATATAGAGACAGCATGAGCAGGGGAGGATCAGAGAGAGGGAGGCACAGAATCCGAAGCAGGCTCCAGGCTCTGAGCTAGCTGTCAGAACAGAGCCCGACGCGGGGCTCGAACCCACGAACCGTGAGATCATGACCTGAGCCGAAGTCGGACGCTCAACCGACTGAGCCACCCAGGCGCCCCTCCAGGCTCTGCTTTAATCATAATTTTCCCCAGTATTTTTTTGTGGTAAAATATACATAAAATGAACTCGATCACCTTAACCAGTTTTCAGCCTGAAGGACAGTGACATGAAGCACATTCACACTGTGTGCATCACCACTGTCCATCTCCAGAACTCCTGTCATCTGGCCAGACTGAAACTCTGCACTGTACTTGTTAACCACTAACTCTCCGCCCCTTCCTCCCCCAGCCCCGGACAACCAGCATCTACTTCCTCTTCCTCCTCCACTCTCCTCCTTCCTCTCCTCCCTCCTCTTCTTCCTCTTCCTCCTCCTCTTCCTCTTTTTCTTTTCTTCTTCTCCTTCATCTTCCTATCCCCTTCCCCTTTCCCTCCTCCTCCTCCTCCATGTATTTCTCTAGGGATAATGAATATCTAGTTAATTTTTTCTGAAGTGTTTTTCTTTTTTCTTTTTTTTAATGTTGATTTATTTTTGAGAGACAGAGAGAGGAGGAGGGGCAGAGCGGAGGAGGGGCAGAGAGAGAGGGAGGCACAGAATCTGAAGCAGGCTCTAGGCTCTGAGCTGGCAGCGCAGAGCCTGATGTGGGGCTTGAACTCACAGACCACGAAATCATGACCTGAGCCGAACTTGGAGGCTTAATCACTGAGCCACCCAGGCGCCCCTCTCAAGTGTTTTTCTTTTCACTTGCTCTAAAGGCACAATTCACGTGCAGGTTTTATTTTATTTTTTAATTCTGTATTTAAAGCAGACCCCTTCTTAAAATAATGAGGTATGTATAGCATGACCCTTTCTCCACAGTAGCTGGGTTCTCCCATTCTGAGCAATGCCTTGGGGTCATAGGGCTTCACTTTTCTCTATATTATTATTTCTGAAACACTAACTGTTGGCCTAGCCTTGCATGTAAACACTCCCACTGACTACTCTCTACTCATCTTTTCTCTTCTTTGCAAAGCCCCCCTGTCATTACCCCATCTGTTCTGTGCTTGATCAGGTCTTAGGCTTCATGGTGGAATTGGTCCTTTTGCCCAGGTAGCTGCTTAAGCCATGGGGAGGAGTCCGTTGTTTCTTTAAAATAAGACAAAACAGGAGCTCCTATTTGTGTATCTTTTTCTTAATTCTGTACTGGCTCCTCCCCACAGTATTCATGAGTTTGGCAAGGCATTTGTTCCCTGCCTTCAAGGAGCCTTGAGTCTGGTGAGGTGAGACAGATAAACATACAGACGTATTAACCTGTTAGGGGTACAGTCCTAGCAGGGTGCTCAAGACACTTTGGGAATAAGAAGGGGGTTAGTCCTACTGGAGGTGGGTGTGGTGTGAAGTGTCAGAAGAGAATTCCTCCACATGACTGTTGTGCTGAGCCCTGAAAGTGACTCTCATCCTGGCAGGAGGAGCAATCAGGTTTATTTGAATGTCAGTCCGTTTGTTGAGGGAGGAGACAGGCAATCTACAGAAAGACCTTGCTACGTTAATTTTATTTTACATTTTATCTGTTCGATTAGGTAATGCATGCACAAGGTACAATATACTCAAGGAGATTCAAAGGGAATACATATGGTGAAAAATGAGTTCTTTCCCTGTTAACCACTCACTTCTCCACCCTGAAGGCAATTATTAGCTCCCCATTTCTTGGGCATCATTCCAGGGAGAGATTTTCACAGCATGCAAAAGTGTCTGTGTGTGTGTGTGTGTGTGTGTGTGTCCCCTTTAAAAATACATGCATACTCACAAATGGTTTCTTCACGTGCTGATTTTGGAAGTCATTTCATACATGAAGACAGACTAGACCTGCCTAGTTCTTTTTATTATTTAATTTTTTTTAAATCACAGGGCTTGAACTCAGGACCCTGAGATCAAGACCTGAGCTGAGATCAAGAGTTGGATGCTTAGCTGACTGAGACACTCAGGCGCCCCCTGCATAATTCTTTTTAGACCAGTACATGGTATTTTGTTACGTGTGTGTATGACCACTTGTTTAACTTGCCTCACTTCACTCTTTTGCCAGTACAAAGAATTCAGTGAATATCTTGCCTCTATATCATTGCTCATGTGATTTTTTTTGAGGGCAGATTCTAGAAGCAGAACTGATAGGTTAGAGAATGTGTGCATTTAGGGGACAGATTTTGTCAAATTGCCCTCAAAAGAGCTCCACACTAATGATGCTAAGTTTAAGATCCGTTACCACTTTGTGCCCCTCCCCCCAATCCTTGCCAGAGTGATCTTCCTAAATGAATTTGGTCTTAAAACTCCTCTGTTTACGATCCTGTGAGTGGTGTACATGGTTTTCAAGGTAAAGTTTAACTTCTTTGGCCTAGCCCTTGACTCTGGACTCTGCCAAGAGTGCTGTGCTCCCATTGTTCTCGTCCACTTGTATTTGGTACCTTCGTTTTTTCCCCTTCTTTTTCACTAAACCTATGCATTAGCAGTCAGCATCACCTCCTCTGGGTGGCCTGTCTTGGTTACCTTCACTTGTGCACAGAACACCTAAGCACCACTCTGATCCAGCCCCATCCAGTCACCGTAGAAATATTTGTTGTGCACGTGCTGTAATGTGGCACAACCAGGTGTTATTCTCAATGATCCACTGGTTGTTGCCTTCAGGGGGTGATGACTGCCTGGTTCAAATACCTACTGTGGATGAATCAAAAATGACAGCACCGTTGCTAACGAGCCATATTCTTTAACCTCTTCTGACCTTGGTTTTGGCACCTGTTGAATGAGGAGGTAAACCCTGATGACCTCTAAGGTCTCTGAAGCTCAGGCCTTATTACTAATGACAACAGCAACAGCAGGCAGTATTTATTGAGTACTTGCAAAGTGCCGGGCACTGCCAAGTGCTTTATCTGATCCTAATCCTTGCATCTAACCTAAGAAGGCATATGGTTACTGTCCCAATTTTATAGATGAGGAAACTGAGACTAAGAGAGTGATTTGGCCACATGGTCATAATAGAGGACACAGATTGGAATTCTGGCATTCTAACTCTGCTGTTCTTAGCCACATAAATGTATACACATTCCACACACTTACATACAGTTTTGTGTATTGTTTTGGGTCACGTACAGACTTCACCCTTAGACCTCTTCATGAACCATCCCTTTTCTACAGCTTTAAAGGCTCAAGTCGGAGTCTGGGTAAAAGCTGTGGATAGAAAACCACTATACAGCTATTTGGGGGTAGTGAGTAAGGACCCAGCGGCTAGCTCATGCTCATTGAAGGCCCTCCCAGCTACTTTTCCTTCGTACTGAGACAGCCCATGTTGCTGTTCGCAGTAACTCTCTTTAGAAGGGGATGTAGGCCTGAGTAAAGGCTTCAGACATGGATTAAAGGCAGGTCTGTTTAATATCCCTGGCAGAGTCTCAGGAGCCCCCTTTATTAGGGTTGTAGATGGCAGGCTCCCTTATCTAGTTACATAAAGCCTTATTAACGGAGAAGGAAGTGTGTATGGAATTTAAAAAAAGGGAGGATAATCTTATTATTTGGAATACCTGTTATAAACAAGGATAAATGAAATCAGATGTTGTTAACTAATGTGTAGTAGGCCCGTATCATAATGTATGATCAACTCAGCCGCTTCTCTGAAGGCCTGTAGAAAGTAACCCCTTAAAGTCTTGATCCCCTATACCTTTATTTTTTAGACCCTGGTTCCTCCTCTTCTGAAGTCATCCTCTGAACTAGAGTGGGTGGGGGAGCTAATTAACAATCACGGTCTATCCTCTCCCTGTCCTTGTCAGGGACAGCCAGCAGGCGTGGCCTCTGGGGTCACAGCCTGGAGTAATTGGTCCATTTTTGAGATTCATGGCTGTGGAGTCAGCCTCAGGGATTCATCCGGCCTCTGGCAGCTGAGCAAGCCTCACCGCCGTGGGCCCTTGGCTCCTGGCCGCGTTCCTTCTCTGGTGGTGTAGTTCTCCCTTTAAGACACGTGTTCTCTATCCCCCACCCCCCTTCGGTTGGTTGAACTCACTCCTGAGTCCAAATGGCAAAGGCAAAGCCTGACTTGGGTGTAGCGCTCTGTGTCAATAGCTGCCTCTCTCTTTCTCTCTGCTGGAGGCGGTGGGGGCAGAGCCTGGGCAGCTCCTGAAAGTGTCGTGCCTGACGGATCTCCAGGTGAGCCTGTGCCGGTCTCCCCGTCCTGGTGCGAGGATCTGGCCCCTAGGTGCCGACGCTGACGGCAGCATGCCATATTGCCCCACGTAGGGGCTGAAAAGCCACTTATGTGCCTGCCTCTTCTGGCGGCAGCAATTCAGTTACTAGGATTTTGTATATGACTGTGGCGTCCTTGCCAAAGTGCCTACTTGCAACTAACTTATGGCCAAAGTTTTCACTTATGTCCTTGTTTTCGGTTTGTTTTTTTACAGGTAAATCTACCCGTGGCTGACTTTAGAATTCTTCCTTCCGGCTTTTAAATTTTTTCTTTTTAAAATAACTTGGACGGATAAAAGATGTGCCATGGCAGGATAGCACCAAAGAGCACCTCAGCGTTGGCCGTGGCCTCCGCGGGACATGGAGTGTTCCTTCCGCTGGTGATCCTTAGCACCCTCCTTGGAGACGGCCTTGCCTCAGGTGGGTCCCCGCCTGCCTCTGTGTGGGGGAGTGAAAAGACTCGGTACCACTGTTGGTCCCAAAGGCTAGGATAGGGCACTGTCCATCTAGCGGGCACTTGCAGGGAGAACAGAGGGTGGTGGTAGGCTTTTGTGCTGTGGGAGAACAGGCGGCCAGTCCTGGGGGTGTGCCGTTAAGGGGCCTCTTGAGCCAGCGGGGGGATGGGTGTGTAGGAGCCTACTGGGATGACACTGTCATCCCTTTGGCAGCAGCTGGTGTCATTGGGCAGAATGGAGGGTGCAGAGCACGACATATAACAGGGGTACAGGTTCTGGAATCAGACTGCCTGTGTTCCAAGTCCAGCCCTCCTGCTGCTGGCTCTGCGCCTGAGCAGAGCTCTCTACCTCTCAGCTACAGAATAGGATGACATTAGTCCCTACTTCAGAGGGGGGTTGTGAAGATCGTCTGAGATAACACAATAAGCCCTTCATGATTGTTAGCTTTTTGCGTGTTTCTTGTCTTTCTGTGTTTTTTCTCAGAATAAGTACAGAGTTGAGGTGTTGTAACTGTGAAAGCAGGACTTGGTCACTGACACTATAAACTTCGTGATCCTGGACAAGTCACTTAGGCATTCTGTGGCTCAGTTTCTCTATTTATCAAATGAGGAGGTTGACCCGGATACCTTTCAGGTCCTATCCACTTCTCTTAAGTCTGTATATTAATGATTGTAAGGACTTACTAGTGGAAGCTGGTGGCTGAGCTTGATCCTTGTTGCCTTCTGCTGCACTCTGAAGACCCTTCTTAGGTTCTCTTCATGTGTCCTCCTGACCTGGCATCCTTTTTAGAAAGCATGTATTTGGGTGTGTACCGTAGGCCTCTGGGGGGCGCTAGAGAACCTGCCTGTTTTCTGCAGGTGCCAGGAGGGGTTTCCACTAATTATGAATGAACTCAGCAGTAATGGGGCCCCTGCCAGCCTTCATTAGCTGCATTTATATGGCGGTTTTCTTTGGACAGCATTCGCTGGAGATGGGTCTCAGATTCTGGAAGGGGACTTGAAGGACAGGAGCAGTGTGGTATAGTGCCATGTCTACAGTCCCCATACAGTGCTCTTTCTCATTCTTTCTTATTTTTGAACACTTTATTGTTTTTTCTAAGTTTATTTATTTATTTTGAGAGAGAACATGAGCAGGGAAGGGACAGAGAGAGAGACAGAATCCCAAGCAGGTTCTGCGTTGTCTGCACAGAGCCCATGCACCATGAGATCGTGACCTCAGTGGAAATCAAGAGTCAGGTGCTTAATCGACTGAGCCACCCAGGTGCCCCTCTCTCATTCTCTCTTTATCAACTCCTACCTAACCCGCTTATCCTCAGCTCCTACCTAATCTGCTTACCCGACACATAAAGATAGTGGTGCAGTCTTATCTAAGCGTTTACTTCTGAATTGTTGGGAGAAATAGTTTCCCATTTGTTGTTGCCTTTTCCTCCACCCACGTACAGAGTTCCCTCTTCGGCTGCCTCTTCTTCACCTTGTTCTGACACTTAAACCTTTCCCACAAAGCATAAGACCTCTTTGGCTGTGAGGAGCCCCTGGCACAACCAAGGAGGCCACTAATGGTTAAGTCCCTACAGTGTGGACATCATGACTCTAAGAGGTTTCAAAGGAAAAGAAGGCCAGCCTACACCAATTGTGTAGCCAGATGAACCGGGGCTTACGTTTGCAGGGCTTAGAAGCTAGAGCCAGAGGAGGCCTCTAGAAGCTGTGGTCACAGAGCCATAGAATATAGAGATCCTGTCGTACTCACCACTGTATCTCCAGTGCAGATGTTGGCAAACGACAGTCCACAGTCCAAATCCTTCCTCCTCCTTTTGTATGGCCTACGAGCTAAGAATGGTTTTTATATCTTTAAATGATTGGGGGGAAAAAATCAAAGAAATGTTTGTTCGTTGTATTTATGAATATAAATATGGCTGTGTTTGTGCTACAGTGGCAGTGTTGAATGGTTGTGATATAGACTGTTTCACCCCGAAGCCTAAAGTATTTAGACTTTAAGATATTTGGTCCTTTATAGAAGAGATTTGCCACCCTACCCCTAGCCTAGAACAGATAGTGCTCAATAACTATGTGCATGAATGGAATAACTGTCAAGAGCTAGGATTTTAGAGGTCATGCACTTGCCCAGGGTCCTAGGGCCAAGGCTCCAGAACTTGACCTAGTGCCTAGTATGCTACCAAGACCACCTTCTTCCAAGGCTCCGTGAGGGAAGCCATCTCATTGTGTGACCTGGCAATTTTAGGGCAGAATGTCTGCCTTTGGTGTCTGAAGTCTTCAGCCTCCTTAGCTTCGTTAAACCATTCCACCTACTGCCACCCTCCGTTTTATGGGTTCCACCCATGTCCCCTCCCATTTCCCACCCCATTTTCCAACTACCCACACCTTCCCAACTTTCCATCCAAAGTCTGAATTCAATTATCAGGACTGATGTTTCAGACTGGCTGGATAAAGGGATTATTATTCTCCAATGTGGAAAAATGTATGTCTGTAGCATGGGCTCAGAGCAGGATGGAAAAGTTGGCTCTGTAATTTTTTCCCCTCCCCCATCTGCAAAGAATCCTCCCTCCCCTGGTCCCCCCACCCCCCAAGTCTCTTCTACTTCCCATAAAACATGTGTACTGGCACAGAGCAGGATGCAGCAGGGGAATGGGTTTTACCATTACTTAGATCCAGCGTACCACGTTGCTGCCAGTGTTTTCCCCTCTGGAGTGGCTTCTCAGCGAAGAAGGCACGCAGTCCTTGGCCTGCAACCCAAAGCACACCTGTGCCTGCCATAAGCAGCTTGCCAAGAAACTAAAACTCTCAGATACCCTGAAGTTGAGGAAAGGCACGTCAGTTCAGGAAAGGTCCTGTCTTCCTCTTCGTGAGTATATCTTAACCTGCTCCTGTGGCTGCACTTGAACACCCATCCCAGAGGCATTGTAAAATGAGGTGCTTGTGAAATACACAGCCTTTGTTACCCTGTGGACTCTAGTCTTTGTGTGTACACACACACTTGTGACTGTGAGAATCCCACTGGACACACGTAAGTGGGCGTCTTCCAGGGGGCGGTTCATGTGTAGAGTCTCTGGTTATAAATACCACAGTCACCCTTAGTCTTGGGCATAATTGCTCAGGTCTGGAAGAAAAGAATCGTGAAGGAACAGACACTTGAGAGTTCTGGGGCAGAGTTCTGCCGTGATCAAGTTCGGTTTTCCTTCTTGGTTTCTCTTATCTACACTTGGAGATTTGGAGTTATAATGGAGAAGGTGGTAGGGAGGCAGTGGGTCCAGCTTCCTCCTCGGTCATTCCGGAAACAGAGATGGGGATAATTATTGGAAGGAGTGGCAAAAGGAAGAGTACCTTCACTCTTCACACGTGGTCACACCACACAGCAGAAGCCCAGAATTGAAAATAAAATTATATGCATAGTGCCCAGCTTGCCTCTCTTCTTGGACCAGAGAGGAATCAGGGTCCCAGCCAGGCAGCAGCCTCTCCCAGATCTCGCACAACTCCTTCCCTTCACCTGGGATTTTAAGAAACTTGCTTTAGGACCTTAGGCAAATCATTTGACCTCTCTGTGTCTCCTTTAAAACAGAAACAGAATCCTTAAGGGTGTTAGATTGGTGTTGTGTAGACTAATAAAAATGATTGGAAGGCACCTGGCATATAAAATGTGTGGTGTAATTCCCAAATAACAACAACAACAGAGTTGGTATGTGACCCACTGCTGAGTCATGCTGGGCAGGAGATTTTGCGGATGACCTCCTTTGCTGTCTTTAAAAAACAGAACTGAAGATGCAAAGTCATTTTTTGTGTTGGGGATAAGGAGTTGGGAGGAGGTGTCAAATTTGACCAGTTGAGGAAGTTTTGGTTACTTCTGGAAACCTCTTTGCCTTCCAGAAAGTTCATGTTTGCATAGTCTGATGGTCTCAACCCAGCTGGCCTGCTGACTCATGCAAAAAGCTTTTGATTTTCATTCTCTCCCTTTCCTGAGCATTTGCTGAAAAAACTCAATATTTTACTTGTTTCTGATTTTCCCCCCTCAAGAGTGTTTCCGTGATACTTTAGGCCATGTTAAACATCACACAAGCACTAAAGCTGTTTTAAAATATCTTCTGTGTTTCTGTGCAGCATAGTGAGAAAGCATGGCAGTTAGTGTTCACCAAAGAGGGAAACCATGGAGAACATGGCTCTCAGGGGTAGGATATGGCTTTGGCCCTTCATGTTGCCATGGTGGAGGGATGTTGGCAAGTGGCCCTGGCTCACTCGCATTTCTGAAGGTACCTGGAGTCGAGGCAGGAAGTTGACTTGTATAGAGCATCATCTATGAGTCAGGCTCTCTGTGTGTCATCCCATTTAAAGCCCCCCAGAAAAGCCTGTGAGCTAGGTGGTCACGTAACCATTTTACAGGTGAGAAACTAAGGCAGAGAGAGGTTACGTAACCTGCTCGGAGACAGGTGGTTGTCTCCGGGGAAGCCGGCTGGGATTCGCACCCAGTCTGCCCAGCTGTGCCGCCCATGGTCTGTTGAGAAGCGCACTGCGTGTGCTGAGTGGCAGCAGGCTTCTCCGAGACCCATTTCTTATGTCACCCTGTTGGAGCACTCAGGGCCATGTTCGGACGATTCTTCTGACAGAGGAAGAAAGACGCCATCTGTGTTTCCTCCCCTGAATAGAGGGTGCAGGAGTCCTCTCTCGGCTACTGTGTTTGCCTCTGTGGTGGTTTCTGTTCTCATGTACAAGGGCCCTTGGTTGTTTGGTTCCCAGTTTAGGCACACGGGTTACCAAGGCAGTGCTATTCTTGGAAAGGAACAATAGGGACCACAGCAAATTGTTTGCTAAATGAGGATGTAGTTCCCAAAACATCCTCAGCATCTTCCTGTCAGTTGTAAACACTGCTGATGAGGTCATGTAGTCTCTCCGCGGTATAATTACCTGTGACTATAAAAAGACTTGGAGATTGTGGGAGGAGGCTGGATGGGTCATTATG